ATGTCCGTGTCATGTTGTGTTCCCCCGTGCAACATAATTTCAATGTACTTTATCATATGCTATCTAACCTTATAATCTACTTTAATTTTCTACTTAATATCCATATTTCAATTTTCAATATGTGTCCTTAATTTTAGAGTTACCCTTGCAGTTTTTCAGTTGCTTGTGGTACTTCATATTCCCCTTAAATGTTTCTGGTTGGATTATCTAGGGTTTATCTAGCCCTATTTCAAAGTCACCCCAAAAAAATAATAAAAAAAAATAAATAAAAATAAAAAATAAAAAAAAGAGCTGAAAAAATTTAGATACCCTCGCCCTCCATCATCCGTTAGATCCCCAATCTAACTTTCATATCAAATTATTTGTTAGTAACCATTGGTGTAACTTATCAACCTCTTTGAAGGCTTCTAGATTGTCTTTATAATAGAACTTTAACCCCGTAGGGAATAACCATGTATAGCTTATATTGTGATCTCTGAGCTTGCCTGTGCAAGTTAGGAATTTCTTCCTTGCAGTTCTAGTAGCCAAAGATAGGTCATTAAAGCATTTTAGCTCTTCAAATTTTGAGTCCTTTAAAGGTTTCAACCTTAGGGCTAGGTTGAATTTGGTCTTCAGGGAAAGAGAGTGAAAACTTGCAATGACTTCTCTTGGGATATGTGCTGGTAGGCTTCTTGCTTTTGGCAGTCTATGTACATTCTCAAATATAATTGGAATATTTTGCAACTGCATATCTAGAAAGTTTAAAAGCTCAGTCAGATAGGCAATCAGCATTTGGTTGGATATATTCTCCGGGATTCCTCTAATCCTAATATTTCTCCTCCGCGACCTGTCTTCCCAGTCAACCATCTTAGCTTCCAAGCTATTTATTTTCTGCTCCAAGGAATTAATTTTGTCTTCCATAAGGTTATTTCTAAGCATTGAACATTCCAATTTCTCTTCCATGGATGTAATCCTTATGTTTACTTTCTTTATTTCTTCTTTAAAGGTCGTGATAAAAAGTTGCATCTCACCTTTTATCTTTTCCATTTGTGAGTCAAAACAATTATTAAGAGTGACTCTATCAATGTTGAGGAGGTCACTTGGAGGGGAATTAATGTATGAATTTAGACCATTTATCTCCGTAAGGCTAGTGTTCACCATGTCTTCTTCTGAAGGTTTAGTGGAGCCCACTTGGCTTAGTCTCCTGTCCTTCTCTTGAGCAGAGAAGTAATTTGACAAGCGTTTATCGGATTTTAATTCAGCCTTAGATTCAGATTTAGAGTCAACTTTTTTATCTTTGTCCTTCCTTGTGTTTATTTTATTCTCACCCTTTTTTGCCGCCATGTTTCTAATTTACTTGGAGGGTAAAGACAATAGATGCAATTATATGCTTACAGATGCGCAACATATGTCAAGTTATCTCAGTTGTTCAAGCTATTCAAGCTCTTCGTAGGCTTCCGTATCTTTATCCTTACTCGGACATGAGAAATTTTTAAGAAGCTTTAAGGAGCTATGGTTTGCGGAGCTCTGGTGATTTAATTAGCTTTAGTTAGTTTTGAATACGCTTTAATGAGTTTTCAGCAGCTTTAAGAAGCCTTTAGAAGCTTTAGAAGCATTTTCAGGCTTCCCAGACTTCTCAGAGTTTTAACAGGGTTTTAACAAATCCAACTTTTTACTTTGTCACCCATTTCCCACTTCTAGCTTCGTCTGACTTCGTTTGTTCACAATTCAGACTACATAAATCAAATTTCAGCTAGCCTGATCGTGAAGGCAGAGAAAACCCAACCAGAGAAAAAAAAAAAATGTCCAGACTAAGCTAATATTAAATTGGCTTTCAATGTAAGATTCTACATTCAGTTGATAGATCTTATCATACTGCAGTATACCTCACATACCATGCTGTACTTCTTGACTTCTGTGCGATGAGAGATGGAGATATCTAGGGATGGGCGCCCGACAGCCTCTCTGTATTTTTCCAAGTTGCTGCGCAGTTACAGTGTTTCAGCGTTGTAGCGTTTCAGCGTCCCTCTCCGTCTCCGTTTTGCTCCCTTGCACCCTTCATTCCCTTCGCTCCGCTTTACGACCAATCTCGCTTGATCCTCGCATCCGCAGTGTAATTAGCCGCAGTTAGCCGCAATATGGTTAGTCGCTGCGATCGCTCTTATCATCTCATTCAAGCGCGGGCTCAGGGGTCGGCAGCGTCCCTTACAGCATCCATTACCGCTTCCTTCCTCCTCCTCTGCTCCTCTCGTCCGCGCGACGTCACCACGTGCACGTCACGTCATCGCTCCACCCCCCAAAAAAGTATATGTGAACTATGTAGTTAAAGATGGTAGTTAGTTCCCTTTTTAATTGATCTTTCAATAGTTTGTAGAATTTGTTTGTAAAGCTGTCTGGGCCCAGAGCAGTCTTTATTTTAAGTTTATCTATAGATTTACTAACCTCTTCTTCTGCTATGGGCTGGGTTATCAGCTTTAATTGATCGGGCAGGATTTTTAGCATAATTATGCTTTCAAAGAATGTCTCTCTCTTTTTTTCCCTACCAAATAGTTCTTCAGGTAAGTTATATAATTCCCGATAAAATCTTTCAAAGGTACTTCCTATTTTTTCTGGGGCCATTAGAGAAGTATCATTATCCTTTATTTTGTATATCACTCTTTTATGTTTCTATTATTTCAATTTGTTGGTCATTAGTGCTTCTGGCATATTTCCCTTTAAATACCACTTCACTTTTAGTACTGTCTAGTTGCTTTGTTCATTAACTGGTTGTTTATCTGTTTTTCTGTTACTGCAGTCTTCCTTGCTATTTGTGTGGAAGGTGTTATTTTACTCTGCCTTTTATATTCACTTAGTATTATATATAATTTGGAGAGGGGCAGTGTTCCTTTTTTGTTTGCAGTGGCTACCATTTTTTATCATGTGGCCTCTAGCTACGCTTTTTTGTAAGCGCATCAGACTGTGATATCCGGTGTGCCTTTTTTATTTTCTAAGAAGAAAAGCTCTTTTATTTTCTTAATTTCTTCAACATTAATTCTTTTGTGTAGTATAAAATCTTTTATGCACCACTCTTTACGGAAAGTATCAAAGTTGTCTTTATATTACAACATAATAGGGCTATGATCTGACCATGCTATATCCTGTGTGTCTATTCTTTTGACAAGATATAGCATGGTCACGTTTCCCAGGATAAGATTGATCCTAGAATAAGAGTTGAATGTTCTGGAATAGCATGTGTAGTCTAGGTCGGATGGTTAGAATGTTCTCCATATCTCTCAAATTATAATTATTCAATACGTTTTGCATTCTATTCTGTTGTTTTTCTGCTTTTCCTATCATATTGGCTCTTTCTATCTTTCAAAGGGTCAATTACACAATTGAAGTCCCCCATTATTAGCACTAACCCTTGCTTAATCTGCTCTATTTTCTTAAATTTTTTTAAAATAAAGTTTGTTGTGGCTTTGTTTGTTACGTAGATGTTAGCTAGTGTAAGTAACGTGTTATTTATTTCACATACTAAAATAATGTATCAGCCATCTGGGTCTAATTCTTGATGTTTAATAATTAGGGAAACATTTTTTGCAAAAATAAATGCCACACCTCTCTTTTATTTTTATTTTCTAAGGCAGCACATATAATGATGGGGTATCTTGTTGAACTTATTGTATTTTTGCTGGATCTTATCCAATGGGTTTGTACCCAATTTTTTGTCAAGAAATCTAAGATTATCGACCTTTTATATGGTGTGTTGATCCCCCGGGCATTTATTGAGGTCAACTTAATTTATAATTTCCTTTCAGTTCTAGAGACTCTCTTTCTCCAAGTGTCGCCATAGACATGATAAAAGCAAACAAAAAAAAATCTTTGTTAGTGATTACATAAAAATAGGACGAATTGATCCCAAACATTGGAATCAACCTAAGACAAACCTGATGTCTAGCAAAAGAAAAACAAACCCCCATACAGTATCTCGAGTAATGAAAACCATTACTCAGATAACGGTCCCACTTGTCGTGTAGGAAAAGTATGCTGAGAGTAGAAGATCTAAGGCGAGCCTACCTTAAGGCACTACTAGGAAGGGGAAAAAAATAAATAAAAGAAAACGAGCAGCTTCAAAAAAATAGTGTATCACGGAAAAAAAGAAACGGTAGGTACAAGGGTAAACCCTATATATCTAAACCCCATACTCCTTTTAACTTATTGTTAACTCTATCCTTTTGTGGTTATTTTTATTTATTCCACTTCCTCTATTAAATAGTGCAATTTCCTCTTTTCTCCTTTCCTTATTTCTTTCTATCCTTCCCTCTTCCTCCTTCTGTTGGTGTGTGTTACCTAAGTATCTATCTCTTCCTATTATTTTGAATAGTGTACTATATAGTTTCACTCTAATAAACGTGAGCCTATATGTAGAGGTAATTTTCTACATTTTGTGAATTGGTTATCTTACTAAGTACAAGCTTAATCAGTTTCCTAATATATTCTACATCCTAATATTATAATTGTTTGTTTCCCCTACATACCTAATTTTAACTATTCCTTAGGTTGACCTGTTCTCGACTAGTACTATTTGTCACAGTATAGAATAGCGGAAAAAAAAGAAAAAAAAATAACTAAAGAGGAAGATATTAATTTGTTTTATCTATAATCCTTTAGAGGTTGGATGTTGTTAGTGCCTATTTATTTTAGGTGAATTTGGGACTTTGCTGTTTTTTATCTAGTGATTGGAGCTAATCCTAATTTTATTTTCAGTTAGCCAGGTTTTTAGATCATCTGCATGATTGATGGGAGTGATCTTCCCTTCTTGCGATATGAGAATTTTTGTGGGGAAACCCCATCGGAAATTAATATTGTTCTGTCTCAGGATTGATGTGCCTTCCGAAAAGGTCTTCCTCTTTTGTCTGGCTGGCCATGACAAGTCCTGAAATATTTTCAGTGTTTCGTATTCTTCTACGCATTCGTTGCATCTTATGGCTCTCAGTATTTGCGTCTTCATTTTATAAGAAGTGCAACATATTAAAATATCTCTTGGGAGGGGGCTGGGCCTGACCTGCATGGTGGTCTGATGTATTCTGAAAGAGCTCCCAACTTAACTACTGATTTACCCGTGTTTACTGCCTCTTGGGACTCTACTTTTGCAGCAACAAGAGACTTACCGCTATCTCGTTATACTGGGGCTCTCCTAGAGCACGTAAACTCTGGATTGCTCATACACTCAAAGGAGGACGCGGTGAGGCCTAGTGTGGATGCTGGGTGGGAGAGGAGGCCGCTCTCTCGGTTTGCCGGATACTGGACTACCGCCGAATCCTACTACAGCCCTGTCTCTCCCCCTCTGGACCGGTGGGGGTGATCCTGGTCCAAACCCCAAAGGCTCCACTACTACGCTGTGCCCAAGCAACACTTCCAAGCCATACCGACTCTACCACTACAATGGCAGTTTCTCCATGCGGTGGGAGATGGGATGTGGAGAGCAGGCTGACAGAACTAATCTACACGTTCTTTGTGAAGCTGTCCGCTCTCATATGGACCTTGTGTCTCACAGTACTGCACATCCAGATGGGCTGGGAGAAGAGGAACCCTTTTCTGATCAGACTTGTCCTGTATGCCAGCGCCCGGAGAGACACATCTTGGCATATACAGAGAACAACCCCTCTGGATCCCTGATGCTGCGCCTACATGCTTCTTGGATGGACGGAACGGCTCGGGTGCTGCTGCCTTACTGCTCATGTCTCCAAGCAATGCTTTTTCTCAGGCTTACCCGTGACCTATCATGCCTGCTGGGGTAGTTTCTGGTGCAGGACTCTACCTGGCCCTTACAAGGCATAGGCTGAGCTGACTCCTTTTCCCTCCTCTGCCTCATTACAAGCAGGGCCGGACTGGCCCACTGGGCTACCAGGAAATTTCCCGGTGGGCCATCGGTACCTAGGGCCGGGCCGGGCAGGCAGCTGGCTCAACTGCGGCCGCAGAGGGAGCTCTTTAGGCGGCTGCAGGGGGAGCTAGCTGTTCTGTCTCTGCTCCCCCTCCCCAGCGCACTACAAAGAGACCGGGGCCGGAATATGACATCATATTCCGGCCCCGGTCTCATTAAGCAGTGCGCTGGGGAGGGAGAGCAGAGACAGAACAGCCAGCTCCCCTTGCGGCCGCCAGAACAGCCAGCTCCCCCTGCGGCCGCCAAAGGAGCTTCCCCACAAGTAGAAATTGTGTACCAGTGTGAGTGTATGTGTGTGTGTCTGTGTGTGTCTCTGTCTGTGTCATGGTGTGTGTGTGGGTCTTTGTCTGTGTCATGGTGGGTGTGTGTGTCTCTGTCTGTGTCATGGTGTGTGTGTGTGTGTCTCTGTCTGTGTGTGTGTCTCTGTGTCATGGTGTGTGTGTGTGTCTCTGTCATGGGGTGTGTGTCTGTCTGTGTCACGGTCTGTCTGTGTCATGCAATGTGTGTCTGTGTCATGGTGTGTGTCATGGTGTGTGTCATGTAATGTGTGTCTGTCGGTGTCACGGTCTGTCTGTCATGGTGTGTGTGTGTCTGTATGGAATGGTGTGTGTCTGTCTGTGTCATGTAATGTCTGTGTCACTGTCTCTCTGTGTCGTGGTGTGTGTGTGTCTGTGTGTCATGGTGTGTGTCTCTCAGTGTCGTGTGTGTGTCTGTGTAATGGTCTGTCTGTGTTATGGTGTGTGTCTTTTTTAAGGTGTGTGTCTGTCTGTGTCATGTTGTGTCTGTCTGTCATGGTGTGTCTGCTTCTGTCTGTGTCACGGTGTGTGTGTGTCTGTGTCACGGTCTGTCTGTGTCATGGTGTGTGTCTGTCATGGCATGTGTGTGTGTGTATGTATGTTTTTACTCACCTTTTTTTTCCCCCCACATTGTGCTGGTCTCCCCTCGACTGGCCCTGCCAAGCTTGATGATCTCAGCCAATAATATAAGTGAAAGGACAGTTTATGTGAAAAAAAAAACAACAAAAATATGAACACTAACTTGGGTGACCAGGGTTTGTGACAAAGTGGCTACAAACTATTTTTTTTTATTTATTATTTATTTATTTTTTAAAACCCACAGAACTGGATATACCCAATTGTGATGGGGGTAACTTTCATTCCTGGGCTGTCATACGGTCACAAAGGAAACATTGGTCCAGCAAACCAATCTGGAAAATACACTGCTCAAAAAAAATTAAGGGTACACAAAAATAACATCCTAGATCTGAATTAATTAAATATTCTTCTGAAATACTTTGTTCTTTACATAGTTGAATGTGCTGACAACAAAATCACACAAAAATTAAAAAATGGAAATCAAAATTTTCAACCCATGAAGGTCTGGATTTGGAGTCACACTCAAAATTAAAGTGGAAAAACACACTACAGGCTGATCCAACTTTGATTTAAACAAGTCAAAACGAGGCGAAGTAGTGTATGTGGCCTCCACATGCCTGTATGACCTCCCTACAACGCCTGTGCATGCTCCTGATGAGGTTGCGGATGGTGTCCTGTGGGATCTCCGCCCAGACCTGGACTAAAGCATCTGCCAACTCCTGGACAGTCTGTTGGTGGATGGAGCGAGACATGATGTTCCAGATGTGCTCAATTGGATTCAGGTCTGGGGACAGTCCATAGCATCAATGCCTTTGTCTTGCAGGAACTGCTGACACACTCCAGCCACATGAGGTCTAGCATTATCTTGTATTAGGAGGAACCCAGGGCCAACCGCACCAGCATATGGTCTCACAAGGGGTCTGAGGATCTCATCTCGGTACCTAATGGCAGTCAGGCTACCTCTGGCGAGCACATGGAAGGCTGTGTGGCCCCCCAAAGAAATGCCACCCCACACCATTACTGACCCACTGCCAAACCGGTCATGCTGGAGGATGTTGCAGGCAGCAGAACGTTCTCCTCGGTGTCTCCAAACTCATACACGTCTGTCACATGTGCTCAGTGTGAACCTGCTTTCATCTGTGAAGAGCACAGTGCGCCAGTGGCGAATCTTCCAATCTTGGTGTTCTCTGGCAAATGCCAAACGTCCTGCACGGTGTTGGGCTGTAAACACAAGCCCCACCTGTGGAAGACGGGCCCTCATACCACCCTCATGGAGTCTGTTTCTGACAGTTTGAGCAGACACATGCACATTTGTGGACTGCTGGAGGTCATTTTGCAGGGCTCTGGCAGTGCTCCTCCTGTTCCTCCTTGCACAAAGGCGCAGGTAGCGGTCCTGCTGCTGGGTTGTTGCCCTCCTACGGCCTCCTCCACGTCTCCTGATAGTGCCTCCATGCTCAGGACACTACACTGACAGACACAGCAAACTTTGTCACAGCTCGCATTGATGTGCCATCATAGGCGTGCGCAGCCTATTGTAAAGGAGTGTGCACCCTAAAGCACAAACACACACGCTGTGTGTATGTATACACACATATATATATATATATATATATATATATATACTGCTGTGTGTGTAGGCGCGGTGTCTGTGAAAGCGCTGTGTGTGTGTGAGGGTGCTGTATGTTTGTGTAAGGGTATATGTAAAGGTGCTGTATGTGGGTACTGTGTGTTTTTACTTTTGGGTGATTGTGTGGGGGCCGTTTAGTAAATATCCCCCCCACCCTTCTTACATTATGGCTGGGAGGGGGGGATCCTGCTGCTGCTGCCATCCATTCCCTGGTGGTCCAGTGGAGAGTGAACTCTAGCCTGGGGGGGTGGAGTTCACTCTCGCGAGAGGTACCTGGCGGAGCTGCTGGGAAGAGCTCCCCGGGTCCTCTCCTGCCTGTAGGTAGGTGAGGGGAGGCTGAGAGCAGAGCCAGTGCGCATGAGCCGGCAGGAGGGATCCTGAGATCTCCCCTGCCAGTCTCAATACGTAGGCGTGCCGCGGGGATTAGGGTGTGCCCAGGCACACCCCGTGCGCTCATCGATGTGTGCCATCCTTGATGAGCTGCACTACCTGAGCCACTTGTGTGGGTTGTAGACTCTGTCTCATGCTACCACTAGAGTGAAAGCACCGCCAGCATTCAAAAGTGACCAACACATCAGCCAGGAAGCATAGCAACTGAGAAGTGGTCTGTGGTCACCACCTGCAGAACCACTGCTTTATTGGGGGTGTCTTGCCAATTGCCTATAATTTCCATCTGTTGTCTATCCCATTTGCACAACAGCATGTGAAACGGATTGTCACTCAGTGTTGCTTCCTAAGTGGACAGTTTGATTTCACAGAAGTGTGATTGACTTGGAGTTACATTGTGTTGTTTAATTGTTCCCTTTATTTTTTTGAGCAGTGTATGTAAAAACTGAAATGGGAAAGCCCTATAGTTGACCCTGCAATGTCCCAAAACCCAATAAAACCTCTACATGGGGGAAGTGGGCGTACATCTGTACTCGTCAGGCATTACTCAACACAAATGTGTATGTTATTGCAGTAAAAGTCAACAGCATTAGGATATTCACAGGTAAAATGCCATGCAGTACATGGAAAATAAAAATGTATTAATTTCTTTTTATTTTATTCATATTAAATTATATTTCATATAGAAATATTTGATGTGAAATAAAAGCCCTATTTTTCCTGAACAAAATTATATATAATAAGTGTGGGTGCACTTAATATAAAAAATAAAAAAAAAGTTAAATTATGGTCGAACAGACATATTTCAAATTTCAGGTTTTATTTTGGTTCAGAACTCATACAATTGCATCCGTCCTTAAAGTTTTAAGACAGAAAAGACAAAGGAAGGAAAAAAAAAAATATATATATATTATTAAAATGAAAAGAGGGAAAAATAGTCACTGACAGCGTTATTCACTCAAGTAGGATTTGTTGGGAATTCCAAGTGAACTTAAAATGTAAGGTCAAAGTAGCCTATATTAGCATAGATTACTTGGTAAAATTTTCCCATTTCTTGTATTTTGGCTTTAAATTTAGAAATTCACTCTGAATTACAGACAATTCTCATCTTCGGTGAATAACCCTATCAGATACACAATAAAAACAGATTTAGAGAAAAAGGATCACTATGGAGGAAAAGGGCAGTTGAAAGACCAAATTGCAAATTGAAAACTAAATTGTAAAATGTATGCAAAAAAATAGATTTATAAGAATCTATATAGTAACTAAACCTCAGAGAATATGGGAGGCAAAATGGATCTTTGCATTGGGTGGCAAAAATCCTTGCACCGGCCCTGGCCATAATCCCTGGTATAAATAGGTATGGCATTAAACTGAAGCATAGCATCCCCATCACTATATAGTAATTGGAGGTCAGACTGCAGGAGATTGAGCATCTCTGCTATACAGCGAGTAAACGGTTTAGCAGTAATGCGAGAACTGGCACCCACAGACTCAAGGTACCATAATCACTTCAATCTTTGAAGTGACTATGGTGCCTATAGGCTTCCTTGAAGAACTGCCAATTTAGACCAACTGAATGCAGAGTAATCAAACAGATTTGGTCTAGAATGTGCATTTCCTTGTAGGTTGTTCTCTTTAATTCCCTGTTGAGGAATAAAAGTGGATAAACCCCTTTGTAAGAGAATAAAACAGCCTGTTCAAGAGGGGCATGGACATATACAATCAATACCAAAAGATGTATGCAAACTTGGCTCTCAAAAATACATAAAATGTGATAAAGGAAATAGCAGCATACAATCTCTGGTCCTTAGATTAATTGTCTTTCGATGAAATCCATAGAATAGGGATTCACAGGTATACATTTCATTCATGTGAACATCAAGTATTTGTTATCCTCAAGGTTACACATAGCTACAAATATATATGGGTCACTTACCCCCATTTGTATATTGTTAAACAGTTTGAAATGAGGACACTGAATGCTATAAAAAAATAAATCAGACACAGTCCTGTAGTTTTCTTCACCCCCACTTTTAACCACACAAAAGACTTTTATTAATATTACATCCATTTATTTAAAACCCTAAACTTTATTTTTTTTTTGGTTTTTATTCCAAAAAGTATTTTTTTTTAAAAGAACTTCTTGTATAAAATCCACAAAGATAAATTAGATTTTCTTTCCTTCCAACTGATTTTTAATGCACATATAATGGAAAATGTAAAGAGTAGTTTGGGTAGTTGCTCAGGCACTGCTGTAAAGAGAGGTAGGGGTGCGGGATCAATGTCCTTTAAAGAGGCACTACACTTTTTTTCCCCTTTAAATCATGACTTCTTTGAAAAGGAATGGTCAATTTGTGCGATACACATTGCCCATCCGGTTCATCAATTGCAAGGCTTTTCCACTAGAAATATGTCCCTTGATTTCCTTATAAATGTGGATGTGCAAGCAGAACATCGTGGGAAGCGGATTCCACCCTGTGCATAGGTTACACGGGGCAGAGATGGCGCATTCCAAAAGTGTTTAAGAGGATTGGTGACCAACAAAAAATGTGCCATTTCCTCATTAACACAGGCCACCATTAAGGGCAGATGTGGAAATTGACAAAGGTGAGACATGTTGGGATTAAAAATTTATTTCAAATGTAAGGCCAAAATTGCAGAACTGGAAAAATTCTCCAATTCAGCTGTGTGGCTTTAAATTAAAAATATTCTTTAAATTCATGTTAATGCTCACTTTAGTGAAGAACAAAGAATGTGACCAGAATAAGGATACAATGGGACATGTTTTAAGACAGATGCCATTTTAAAATAAGCAGAGAGCCTACATGTTGCAGTGTTAATCATGCTGGCTGTCCTGGTCACCGACAGCTAATATTTTTTTTTTATAAAATCAATGGAAAAGACTATAACTCGGTCAAACGCTCTAATTTGACATAAAACATAACCCCTCTCAGTGTAGTGAGAGACACTAAGGTGAGAACTCAAAGTGAGTTTCAAAGTTAGGGCCAAAGCAGCAAAAGTGGAAGCATATCTTAATTAGATAATTCTCCCAGTTCCGTTATTTTACCCTTATTTTACCCTTGAAATATACTTGTAATGCTCATATTAATGAATAACCCTGTAACACTCTGCCTGTGCTGATTGGCTGGAGTGTAGAATCTGGCAGATTATGTCCTTAGCCTGATCATCAGTCACGGATCTACAAAGATACATGCCCATATTACTGTGCATGTGCAGCATGTTAAAGAATGTGTTTAAAGGCCTTGTAAGGAAGAAAAAGAGGTTCTAGGGACGATACCTTCTCACCGGCTTACCACAGGCTGTGTCAGAAACCTGTTCACAGGCTGCAGAAATATTGTTCCCCAAGAAATGACTTTACAAACCTGATGGAAAATTAACTATTTGGCAGCGAGGCCATTAAGAAGCCTTCATTACAAAAAATAGGCTTTGACGTTCTTGAAAGAAAATGCACTACATCCGAGGAAGGTGGAATGTTGTGCTTTGAGTATTTTCTATGGGGCTTTTTCCTCAAACTCCCAGTACCTCACAGGCTGTAATATTAGGACAATGGTCAGGTAAGGTTAACAATTAATAACATTCTCCAAACACCCTCAAAAGGACACTTTCATAACACATTTTGTTTTTTTGTGCATTAAAATAACTTTTAGCATTTTCTTTAAATATTCCAGTTTATATTAAACTCTTCTTCCACATGCGCATTCTAATCTTCCGATATTAAAAAAAACAAAACAAAAAAAACAAGCTGCAGCTTGCTTTTACTTTAGGGCTGCTGTAAAGATTTTATAAGTGAGTCAGCAGTACAAAGACTCCTGTGCGCAAAGGGTGTTTTTTTTTTTGTTTTTTTTTAAATCAGGGCAAACAGGAGTAAAGGAAGGCATTGATAAAGAAATAATTCAAGTAGTTACAATTTTATAAACTCTAATCTACAACTACATCTAAAATCTATTTTACAATTTAAACTAAAGAACAAAATGTTTCTGATAGTGTCCCTTTAATACAACTCTTGCCTCCCCCCTCAAAAAAAGAAGTTAATTGTCCTTAATATAGGAACAGCTGCTGAAAATTCCAAAGAGAACCCAGATTTTGTTTGGTTCTGTATCTGCAAGCAACGCAATAGTGGGTGTGAAACATGTTATTCCATGGCCATTAAATAGGAAATGGCAATGCACTGCTTTGCTTGCCCTTTGGAAAGCAAATTGACTAAAATGTCCCAAAGGGTGTAGGGTTTTGGCGGCAGCAGAGTTATCTCCATAGCACCTTTCCGAGGAGAGGAAGTAAGTCAAAGACTTGCAGTACCTTCCTTGAAGGCTCCCTTATAGTATTGCACAAACAGTTCACAGACTGTAGTGTCCTGAGAAGCTCTGCTTGCAGCCATCACACAGTGATTGAATCCAATTAAAATGTCCTGATTAAGAAAAATTTAAAAAAAGAGCACCTCCAGCTGTCATTCCTGTAATTCTCAGCATCTTTAACATCTACTCTGCCAGTAATACTGGACTTTCCTACTTCTGCAAGAGCTGGTATTTTAAATACATGATCAAAAGTTAATTTCCACACAGGAGATTCATGGTGGCCAAGGAAGGGTACTATCTAAGAGTACCCGGGTAACGTAAAAAGTGGCTTGTGTGAGGCATGAGGTCAATTAGAGGATATCTGCTCGCTTGTCCCGGACTCTACTTCTTGCTTTCGTTCTTGCTTTGAAGGCTGCAGAGTTGAACATGTGCTGCAGAGAGAGAGTACAGAGACATGCTATCACCTGAACATCAAGGAAAGATCAAATCCTGTCCTCCAAAAAAAAAAAAAAAATTGAAAAACTATACACCAGTGACATCTACCAGAGAAAATGACACCTTCCTAGTTTAGGAGAGTGGGTGCCAAAGTGGAGTGCTTCTTAAACATATTTGCACGTACCTTCTCTACTCTGGAAATTTTATTGGCCTTGATTGCTGCTGCATCCAGTACAAGAGGGGCTCCCAAGGAGAATATATCACGCAGAACCTCGTTATACTACGGACAGCAGAAAGGGGAAAATATAAAACATATTAGCCATGGACCAATGATGGTTTTAGATTATATATATATATATATATCTCTATATCTATATCACAAATAGAGGTTTTACACAGAGCTGTGATGTTACCTGTAGATGATGTCTAATGCCAGAACCCAGAGCCTCCTTGAATGAATTGTATGTTCTCCTGCGGGCCCAGCTGTCTATATACATGGCTTCCAAACCAAACTTTATTGTTTCTTCTTGGCATTCACTGCTCTGCAAGAGTAACAAACCATGGATAGTGTTAAATAAGGGGAAGAGGGAACATTGACAATGGTAAACCATCTAAGGACGTTTGTTCATTAACAAACAGGGTTATTTATTAAAGTAAGGATTCAAGGTGAATTTGTCCCTAAGTAGCCAAACTTGAAGCATTAAAGAATCTTTCCTGTTCAGCTATTTTGGCCTTGAATTTGAAATTCACTTTCAATTCTCAATTGATTAAATAACCCCACATGTATTTTTTTTTTCTTCTTCTAAACTTTGCTATATCAGTCCACATTTTGTACATTGGTTTTCAACTTAAGTGATTAGCCCTCTATAACGGATGTTGAAAACTATACTTTAATACACTATAAACTATGTATATTGCAGTGGATGCAAGCACATATGCACTGCCGCACTGCTTAGTTGATCGTCAGAATCAACAATATGGGAAGGTAGTGTTTGGCTTTTTGGCCAAATTATAATAGAAAAGTGATCCTAATGAATAATATTCAGAAGCAGAACTGATAATAGCAGTATCAATTGCAACTGATTGAACCTTAGAAAAATGCATTATGACAAATATTTGATTTAAGATTTTTAGTCCTCTCTATTCAGACAAACCAGGGGGAGGTGGAGATAGAGAGAGAAAAAAAAAACACTTCCATTCTTGTTTTAAATTTAAGAACAAATACATCAACAAGACCATCTCATCCAAGATCAACATGGAATAATTTAATGACAATCCAAGTCATCTCCATATTTACACACAGTGTGGGGAATCTAGTCAAGGTGACCTTGGAATCTGCAAGTGAAAACATTCAATCTGATTATCGCTACTGCTTACCTCAATGTAATGGAGAACATCCCGGAAGATAGAACGCTGTTTGCGTCTGTCAGTCTTTGCTCTGTATTTATTGCTATCCGTGGCTAAAGCTTTCAGGGTCACACATAGCTCATCTGTATCCTCATAGAAGAAGTCCTCCTGCAATGAGAAAAGTGATGGTGGGACACTGAAATATGGTCAGATGATAACTTAATGAGACAATTCAGTAAAGAAATAGCACATGGATAGGGAATACACAAAGCAGAGGAAAATAACCAATGTTATTTCTCACCTCAATATCACGTCCCATTTCGTACAGTAACGCTAAACTCTCTCCAGATGCAATGCGCAAGTTGACATTCTCACTGGACAGCATTCCAGGCAAACGGGGTAAATGACTAGTGGGGGGGGGGAAAAAAGAGCAACTCTGAGCATAACACTGGAACGCCTCTCTACATGCAACCACTATAAACAGCTATCTTATGACCTGTTCAATAAATTTACTGTATGAAGCACAAGATTCAATAAACTGAAAAAACAAACACATTTTCAATTACAGCAGAGGAAAGGGTTCTTTACAGTATAAAGATGTACTTTCAGATCAATAGCAAATACAAGAATGTGTGAAAAGTTAGGCTTGAAAGTTTTTCCAACTGAACCTTTACACTCACCTCTCTAAAACTTTCTGGATGTGGCTGGCTGGGCATATAGTGAGAAGCAGCGCCCAGGACTGGAGGGTACAGCAAAGTAATCCATGGAGGGCTGTGTGCGGGGCACCAGAGTCAGTATAGTAAGATGTGATTATACCCTCCAGACAGTAGAGACTAGAAATTAAATCCTGGGCAAGAAGAGAGGGAGACGTCAGAGGAAAGAACATTCAATAGGGATGCTTTCCACCTGCCTTTGCTAGTGAATGTTGATATAAGAAATACGAAGGATAAATATTTTACCTCTGCATCAGCAGCAGCAATGTAACAGCACAAACCCAGGGATGTAGCACACTGTAAGAAAACAGCAAGACAATTATCCGTAATTGAGGACACAAACAGGGTTTGTCACGAATGTGATAATGCAATTAAAGTTTCAGGCCAAAGGAGCCAAACTGGAAGCTTAACCGACAGAGAATTTTTCTAATTCTACTATTCCGGCCTGAAATGTGAAATTCACTTTGAAAGTTAATTAATAGCAGCCGTGTGATGACCACGCCTGAGACAAGGAATAATCATTGAAAAACAGGAGAAATCAAGAGGAAGCAATAAAGAATTACAAGCAGCACTAGCAAGCTGGCACTGCCTAACTTCAACACACTTTCATCCATTTTTAGTTAACTTTCAACTCCATGGACACTTGATAAAAATTCCAACACCACTGTGCTCATCCCTGACACCATTCTGATCAATTCTTTAGTTTGGCAAAAATGCTCTGATTTCTCTATTTTAAGCATACTGGTGTCAGGCTTGTTAGGATGAATTTAACCCTTTCAACCAGGGATCGACTGATTATCAGTCTGGCCGATATTCGGTATTTTCGGCAATATCGGTATTGGCCTATAGAGATACCAATATTGCTGATAATACATACCAGGACCGTCGGGCCCATGACAAGCCTGGCGGTCCTGGAGGACCCGCAGCAAGCTCTTACTTACCTTCCCAGCAGCTCCCCTGAGCTCCCCTGTCTAAATTTCGCAGGTCCTGCAGCTGTCAGAGTGTTGCCACGGGTTACCATGGCAATGCTCCGCGCGGCACACAGGCCGCAAGAGTTAGGCAGGGGAGCTGAAGGGAAGGTAAGTAAGAGCTTGCTGCGGGCCCCCCACTTCACAGTCCATGCCACTGGACCACCAGGGAATTGTCATATCCCCCCTCCCTGGCCAGGTAACAAGCAGGGAAGGGGGGCTAATGAATAAAAAATAAAATTACATATTTAATTTTTTTTTTTTTATTAAAAATGCTCCCCCATTTTACACAAATTACATACCTAAAGAAACACACACTGCATTCAATATATATATATATATACATACATACACACACACACACACACACACTACACAAACACACTCTGCATTTATTATATACACACACTACATACACACTACACAAACACACACAGCTCCCCTGTCTAAACTGCATCCACTACATGTGGCATGTATATTTTGTGCATTTACCTTTAGAAGTCGTTTATTTTTTTCAAAATGGTAAATGTACAGAATATCGGTAAGTTATCAGCTATTGGCCTGAAAGTTCTCAGATTATCGGCTCTAAAAAAAAATCGGTCGATCCCTACTTTCAACTACAAGTCCTCATAAAAGTAAAATGCCTACAAGACTAGTCAGTAAGAGCAAGGTTCTTTATTACAAAATCCTTAAACAGCATCTTGAACAAATCACAAAGCCACAATATTTCAACAACCAATGTTAGACTACACTAGACATTAGCTAATGAAATATTTTTGGATGTGGTTGTTCAAGAGGAGTTTAACATTTTGCAATAAAGAACTTTGCTTTCATCAACCAGTGAGTTTCTCTTTATGAATATTTAGCATTTCTATTTTTTTGGTGTTTTTAGTGCAAGGTTCTAAGATTGTATTGATTGTGTATTACTTCTCAAAACACTACTGCTCTATAGTACATTCACCATCAAATCCAGCTTTTTCACATTAAAGAAACATAATACCCTGCAGCTTTTCTTTATGTTAGGATGCAAGGCAAAACACAGATCAGACAACACAGACAAGTGTCTTTCAAATGGTATAACATACCCACTCAGTGTCAGGAAATAGACAGAATATTAGGATTGTGGATAGTATTAAATAATGAACTGTTAGAAGTAACACCCCAAGCCCCAATATGGTGCTAGGAGTGGACTCCCACAGTGTGTAGTCAATTTATTTAAGAACGGATTGACAAACTTATCTGCGGTCTGCTGTTGGCTTTTCTTGAGCATGAAGCTCCTTGAAGAAGTTTTCTTTAGCTCCCTGAGCTAAGCCCTGTTGGTCTGAATCAGCCCATTGGCCGAGAGTGTCAGCTGAATGCTGTCAGCCAATGAACACATACCTGCATCACCAGGATTAGAACCGTGCAGGAAATCCTGATTTCAGAGTAGATTTCAGAGGTGGTGGTCCCACGGACCCCAGGTAAAAGTTGTCAAACCATTCTTAAATGGTCCGTCTGATTACTGACTTTGGGAGGGCATCAGGACATTGTTGGAATTATAACCACTGTGGCTGGTGGATGCTAAAAAAATAAATAGTTTTATGTTGAACAGGGTAACATAAATTGCCCTGACAGGCTGTGTGAGCGACAAGCCACTGTGTATAATAAATAATCCGAAGGTAAGATACTTTTTGGGGTGGGTGGAATGTAAACAACACATGTACCATTTAAATATATTTACTACATGTTTAATCTACCATGTATCAGTTGATGTAAACACTTAAACTTTGCATTAACCAAATAAAAACCTCTCTATTTTGCTTTACCAAATTACACTTACAGAAATCTATGCTCGCATAAGAACCTTACTATCTGAAATATCAAGCTTTAATGACCAAATTCAGTAAACAATAGTTTGACCAATTTCTGTGTGCCCATCACATCTCCTAATGTAGCATTTACTGCTGCACCAAGTGTGTTTCATTAATCTTGTTTTGTCCAGTGCAGAGTACAGAGACCACTAAGCATGTATGGCTGTTTGAGAAGCTTTCCTACTTACACTCTGCCGAGCAGACAATCCTGCACTGGTGTCTGTAAGGATGCTGATCAGGAGGGGTTTCAGACAGCGAAAGACTTCTTCTCCCTCGGGATCCGAGCCTAGCTGTAAACAAAGCAGAGACAGCACTGTGGCTGCCAGAGACTGTTCCTCCTCTTTACCTACAAAACAAATAATTGATAGACCAAAATTATAAGAAGATGAACCAGTGGTGACATCACATGTAGTCACATCATTGTAGAATGACTAAATGGATAAAGTCTCTTTCTGGCCAGGTAGCAATGATACAGCAACACCTACAGTTTTTATTTTTCAGCCTCGACAGACAAATAGAAATGTGCTGGGATTTGTTGGACACTTCTTGGAGAAAGCAATGTAAATGTGCAAAATTAAGAAAATTAGACATTTCACATGGTTTGTTGTTGTTGAGTTTAGCAAAGCTTGAACAGAGACTTTACAATGGTCACAAGATTGAAATGTTTCTGGGTCCTTATTTAATTGGAATAATTGGCAGTCATCTCTTATTTAGGTGTAAGGGAGTCATTCTCAATTTCTACTTTCCTGTGTGGGTCCAAGTTGGTACTCAATCTTTGCACATTAACAAGTGGGTTCTGGCTTCCACACAGTATACTATTACAGAATGGACACCAGAACCATAACCAGTGCTGTGTGGACCTTACAATGCAGACTGTCCACATATTACCTTTCTTCAAGCAGCGCTCCAGAGCATCCATGAGGGTAATCCGTCTTTCTGTAAGAACATCACCAAGGACATGAGAGGAGAGGGTAAGGCGCAGATTGGTCAAAGCTATCTGTCTTGTCTTGATGCTACAAATATAGAATGGGATTAGGTCACAAAAACATTTGACTACAAGTATGTGTTCAGAGGTCAGACACAGGCACGAGTGCTCTCACAAAAAAAAAAAAGAAAAAAAAAAAGATAGCACTGTTGATGGAAAACAAAGGTTCTCAAAAACAGTCCTTTCAAGTGCTAATAATTGACCAAGCTTTTATCATTACTACTATATCAATAGAACAACGCCAACTTTAAACTCTGTACTGGTTGGTGAACCAATAATGTACATTACAATAAATAAAGACAACTTTGTATAACATGGATCAGACATCAAGAGATTTTTTTCTGGTATATATCACTTCTCACCTTTTGTCCATCAGATTGTCTATATCCTCTTTAAACTTGTCCTCTCGTTGCTCCTGCTGAGATTGGTAATCCTGTAACTCGTTCCCTGTAGAATAACACAGTCATTATGGTGCAAAAAGAACGGCGAAGGGTCCATATTATACACAAGCATTGCTGATTGAAATAGAAATTTAGATTATTATTTTAGAGATTACAATAACCAGCCCTGGGGGTTGTGGTAGGTAAGAGCATGGTGTAAAGACTATTATGTGTCTTAAAAGGCATCAAAATAATTAACATCACTGTTTAAATAAGACCTTGCAAGTTAAAGAAACACTGCAGGAAACCACATGCTATGGGATATACTCCGCTTTGTCCTAGAAAAATTTAGATGCAAAAGGTTTGATTGAGACACTGTTTTGGTGATATCTGCACATTTGTTGATGTTAACTATCTTAACAATGCAGTAAATAAAATGTCAACTCTAGATTAGTTTCCGATGAAAATCCCAGAATATTACTTAAAGGAACACTGTAGTGTTAGAAATACAAAAGTGTATTTCTAAAGTCTAGTGCCCCTTTAAGCAAACCCAAAGGTAGTCTGGTATAAAATTGCCATGGCTAATCCTTGGATAGGTTTAGCTTTAATACAATTAAAATATATAACAAGGCTGCAAATGTACACATGAAAATAGCTGATCGTGTAACTTAACATTTATTTTTAAGCTACTTTCTGTACAATTTATTCAGGTTTTCAAGGATAGTGACAGCCACATAAAAAAATCACAAATAGAGAAAAGCAATAATTTATTTGTAGACATATCAGCAAACGTTTTAAGATTATCATATTGGCTATAACATACAATCCAGGAAGCTTAATTTTTCCCTTAGTTATATATGAAAATGTCATCCTAAAAAGTTTTATAAAACATATTGTATTTTGGCTAACCTAGTGAAGAAAAGTCAGAGTGGACTCCACAATTACTTTTCCGAGGGCGCCTGGGCACCAATCTAGTGATAGGTATTAAGAGAGGAACAGCGCCAACCAGAGGGGTATCTCTAGGCTTCCCGTGCTGATAACATTAGTTTCCACAGTGCATGCTGGCAAGAAGTTCCCAGGTACCTCCCAGACACCCTAACCTCAATGGACCCTCATTTCTACTGAATTAGTGTAAAGAAAAACCAAGAGCTAAACATTAAGGCTGGAAATGGACAGATTAAACTTTGGTTGCCTTGTAAATGTGCTGAACATATACAGACTAACCTGTGCCATCCTCTGCCAAGCTGACAGTTTCACTGGCACTGCTGCAGTGACTGAGAACATCACTTGCTGCCTCGTCATCACTGGCCTCAGACTCAGCACGTGTTCCTGGGCGGGAGCCTGAAATATAGAAAGGGAGTCAAAAAGGATTTAAAAAAAAAAAAATAATAATAAAAAAATGTTTACACCAGTTTTACACAATATGTTTTAACATTTTATTTCTATCCAGTCCAATGTAATTTTTGCTTTTTTTTTGCAACCGAAACATAATATTTATGAGCATTAGAACCATGGAATACAATATAACAGCACCAGCCAGAGGCCAGCAAATAGAATAACCAACAAAAACAAACAGATAAATTAGAATTAGGTGAAACACAGGTCAGTGAGGTTGTGTGCAATGTGTAAACAGAACAAACATATGACACAGCTTAATGAACACTGAAAACAACAATATAAGGATACAGCTATTAACAAAAAAAAAGAAAGAAATATGCAATAGTGTAATACAGTTTCGGTCCAATAGAACTCTGCATTAACATTGCACTGAGTATATCACAGCGTATTAAGGGTCCCTCCCTAGCATGGGAGCTGGGGTCCACCGCCTGTCCTGATTCTTGTCACCAATGATGGATATAGACTCCAGTGGTGTATGGCAACAAGTATATTTATCATGGTCCTGTGCTTTTCCACCATATCGGGATTCTTCAAGGTCGCAATTTCAGCTGTAACACCCCTACAACTTCAGGGTCTATATCTATATATAGTGTAGATTGGATTAGCCGTATTGATCCAGTAGACAAATGCCAAAATACCACAGTATTGCAGTATGCAATGATACCTTTTTGTTTGGACTAACAGAATACTTGTCTTTTAAATATGTTAGTCCAATAAAAAAAAAGGTATCATTGCATACTGCAATACTCCGGGATTTTGGTATCAATAAAATGTACGAATAAAATCTCATTTTTGTATATATGTAATACTGCCTGTGTCTAAGTTTAGTAGATCAGTCATACTTCCCCTAGGTGGAATACAGGGCAGAATTTGACACGCAAGAACAAACCAGAACTATGCATGAGGATCGAACGCAACAGAATGTTCAGCATTTGAAATTCAAAAGGAATCAAGATGGAGAGGTAACAACTGACAGTGGGCAGAAAAATACGAGGGGGGTGATTGGAGAAGACACCCAAACACACCTCCGGCAACACTAATAAGAGAAGCTTTAGCAACATTTAAAGCTCCACTGTCATGGCCGAATCCCTTTTTTTATTTGGGTGGTGGGTGACTAAGGGCTTGTTAGGACGAAATTCGGTAGTTTTGCCGGCGTTCTGTCTAAATAACAGGACGTTCGGCAATACTGACAGGAAGCATTGCGGGAACATGGAGGAAAGCTTAGAATTGTGGGAAAATTTCTCTGACAGCGGAAATGAAGCACACTTTGCTCCTCCGCTGGTCAGAGATGGTCAGGCGTAGGAAACCTCCATAAGACAAATAGTCCCTACTTTGTCTTATGTTTTAAAGAAAACTAGAGCAGGCAGGAAGAAATGAAGAACAGATTCTGAGAGAGCGAGAGAAGAGGAATCGATTAAAGAAAGGTAAGTACAGCATGACAGTGCCGCTTTAAGAGGTACTCTGGGAAGAGTAGGATTATGGTTCTTTTTAAAATTGTCATCTGTTGAAGGTGCTTTTTAATTGCGGACGCTGAAGAAGCCAGATACGGGAGAAACGCATAGAACCATTCTATTGTTTATTTTAATGAATATATTGGTCGCCATACACCACTGGAGTCTATATTCATCATTGGTGAGCGGAATCCATGCAGAGCGTGGAGACGCTGAACATAGGCGCTGCATACAATGCAGCTTTGAAATAGGAAGCACCTCTAGTGGCTGTCTGAGAGACTGCCACTAGAGGTGTTACTAGGCAGCAATGTAAACACAGAGAAATGGCAGCATTTTCATTGCTCAGCCTGTAGGGACATACTATACACACCAGAATCACTATATCATCTGTAGTAGTTCTGGTGGCTATAGTGTCCCTTTAAATGTGTTCTAGAGGCCCAAACTGAAAGTATCTAGTCTGGTGAAAAGAGGATCACATTACCCACCTGGCAAGCTGAAAGAGCTCTGCAGTTTTTGAGAAATGTAACTAAACGTGGTAAAAGTAAACAATGTATTTTTCCCTGTAAAATTTTAACATACTACCATATAAATAAGTAGTTTAATTGTTAAACATTTTAATACGATTTCATAAAAAAATAAAATAAAAAAGCAGTTCCTTAACAACCCTATTTTCACAATGAGTCCTGTTCACTAACAACCTATTGTTCCTGTAAGTTTATTTGTAATTGTCCTATTTATAGTTAAATCCCCTCTCATAATATTGTAAAGCGCTACGGAATCTGTTGGCGCTATATAAATGGCAATAATAATAATAATAATAATAATAATAATAGGGACTACTCTGGGAATACAGGTCTTGAGATACCCAGTATATTTTCCTAACAAAAAATATATCTTGCGTGCAGCCCTTCCAGTAGCATGGTTCTCATACATTCAGGTCAGTCACTATTTTCAATCCCCGATACACTTTTTTTACTCCAGAGGACAGGACTAACCCCCGTTAACACCCTTCTCTGTTCCACTAATCCTGCTTTTTATTCTCTCTCTCTCTCTCTCTCTCTCTCTCTACAATGTATGCTCAGATACATTACTCTCCTGACTAGACCAAATAAAAACTACGGTCCTCCAAAAAAAATCTATTCCTAGAACTGATTTTCCCCATGGTGCTTCAGGTTACCTGTCTTCAGTGACATAGCATGACCTTCTGTTGGAGAACAAGAATTACATTAACAGAACACAGCCCACAATGCATTTCTGTTCTGTTGTGCATATGCAAAAGGATAATATACTGCCTACAGTATGACAGACATGTGACAAGCTGAATAGCGTTTCCAGTTAAATTCAGGGACATAAGTACAAAGCTAACTACCCAATCACACGCAGAGAACAGATTGTTGCCATAAATACAATCCATTCACAATGAATAAAAACGTTCTGGTACATTTTTCACAATGGCTGTACATGCATGAGAAGGATGAAGTGATGGTGTTGGTGGTGACTGGCGAAAGCATGACATTTTGCAAATCAATAGCTAAAACACAAGCTTCTTTAACAGAGTAGATATATTTCAACACTACCAAGTGTTTAAACACATATATATTTATGTCTCATAACCTGACTATTTTATTCTTAGACCTGTTAACTAAAAACTGGATTCTATTAGAAGACATAAGCATATTTCTGGTATTTGAATTGCAATTTGCTCATAGATGTCAATGGGAGGATTGCTATTCAATTACCAGAGTTTGGTTTAACTCCTGTGATAGAATTTCACCCTTTGGGAGAAACGGTCAGTTTATACAACAGTCCCAACCGGAGAGTAAACGAAATCATCCTGCTCAAGGTTACAACTGCATATTTTAATATCTAGAAAATTGGGCACTGTACTTTAAAGGTTCAATATATCAGCAGCAGAATACTTTAGCATTTTTCACTGGACTTTTTTTTTTTGGTGGGTGGTATATAAACTAATTATAATAATTACCAGAAATAGGGACTTTCTAGTACTGCGAGGGAGAAGGGATAACAAGGACTAGAGGTTTGGAAAAAACAAAAGCCATATCTAAAAACTATTAAAATAACACTGGCCTTATAAGATACAAATAACAATAGCCATATATGGTTGCCCTAAAAACAGTTCTAAGAGTGAAGCTCACACAATCTGGAGAAATCTGGATAAAACCCATCGCATAGCCTGGCATTTCATGCAAATCACAAAATGTTTCACGATTCCCCTTACACAGCCTGCAACAAGCAGCATAAGAATCCAGGGGAAAATACACAGTGTCAGCAAAAAAATGTATAGTGTCAATTGCTGATTTATGTGTGTGGTAATGAATTAAACTATTCCATATCTTCACAACATGTTACACTTTACAGCAGTTGTAAAACCATTTCCGCTGCCCTTTTCACATTCTACTTAAGAATACTACGTAAGTGCAGTATCTGACATCCTCCAAAGACTAGCAAAGGCAAACTACTGTGCAATATATTATTTTTGGTCTTGTATTGATTGAAACATTTACATTTAGTGAATAAACTTTGTCTCTGTTTGTTCATAAATAAAATGTTCCAAGCTTGTATTTTAGCTAGAGTTTCATTGTAATGGACAGAGACACATGCTGCTAGTGGCACAACTTGTACCTTTAAACTGGTTCAGTTTGTCCGACACTTTCAGCTGAAGCAGTTCCTGTCTCAGGGAGCCTGCAAGGGGAGGAGGGGGTGGTGGGGGTCAGTGGATCCATGGGGGTTGGGAAGGTAAACATAGGAGGATATAAGGCTTTATTGGGATAACAGGGGATTGGAGAGTTTGGGTATTATCCATAACAATGTTATTTAATTACCAAAAGAACATAAATTATCACCTGCAGGGGCACTTTGTATACACACACATATATATATATATATATATATATATATACATACATACATACATACATACATACACACACACACACACACACACAAAACAAATACAGCTTGGCACGCTACTGGTCAATAATGAATAGTAGAAAATCGCCTAGGTGCTACCCACGTTGTATATATCCAAATAATATCATGGGTGCACTCTCAGGTCTTGTGAAAATACTTAGTGATTTTAATGGCAAAATGTTTTTTACATCTGTAATACGATCGACGTTTCAATCACTAAGGGTCTTTTTCAAGATCCTTAGCGGTCGAAACGTTGATCGTATTACAGATGTACCTTTTTGTTTTTGCCATTAAAATCACTAAGTATTTTCACAAGAACTGAGAGTGCACCCCTGATGATGTTTTGAATATATATATATATATATATATATTTTTTTTTTTTTTCTCTCTCTCTCTCTGCAAAAAAACCTCAAACAAATTCATGGCTTCCAAACTGTTCATATTAATTTTAGCAACCCCCTAGTTGAGCGCTCTGGCCAGGATTTCCTTTAAGCCACATCACAGCAACATGTGCCAAAACTTTCTGGGCAAACTCTGTTAAACTAAGAATTGTTGAGAATTAAAAAAAGAGAATTCTTAGTTCTCATAAGCCGTGTATAGCGGAAAACAGATCCAGATGCCAAAATGGCTTTTGGTGTGAGATGGCAAAAACAAAAAACAAATAACTGTATTTGGAGAGTTGTTTCCTCAACTCAGATGATTTGGCATGAAATGTGCCTATGCCTGGTCATGTATCCCTGACTGGCAGAGATTTCTTTCTAATCTGGCTATTTTTTTCAGACCTAAAATCAATCCCCTTTATAATTGTCCAGAATTCACAGTTTACAGAATAAACCAAATGAGTAAAAAAAAAATAAAAAAAAAAAATAGGTAGTGATATTGAAATGACAATTCCTTAACAATCAGGGGCTGGAACATACCCCAAACAGCAGGGTCTCATGGCCCCAGGGACATGGATCTGGACAGTTAATGTCACAACATATGTCACAGGAAGCAGGCTGAGCAAGGAGGACATTATAAAGTATTTATTACACACACACCAGGCACCCACGTGTCCACTAGCTGCCCCAGGAGCCCCTCTATTGCCCCAGTATTAGCCCCAGCTGGTGTAAAGCTTGTCCTGTGACTGACATGGGGTATTTATAGCCCTGACAGCACCCAGTCCATACCCGGCCCGGCACACTGCACCCCCCCTCCTCCCCCCTTACCTATTTACCCCCCCCCCATTACATTGGGACAGGTCCCCCTGCTGCCTTCCCGTGCCCCTTGCCCCCGATCTCGGGTCTCACCGCGGCTCCCGCCGCCCTTCTTGGCGGACTGGTTGGCTCTCCGGGCCCGAGGCATGGTTTCTGAGCAGCTGTCAGCGTGTGTTTTGGAGCGGCGAGGCTCGGCCGCCGAACAGACTCACGGGACTTGGAGTTCCCAGCGATCCGCCTACCGCTGACCGCCTGATCGCAAAGTACCACATATCCCGGCATGCACTTGGTGACGTTCACTGAAAGGCAAGGCATGACGGGATGTGTAGTTGTCTGAGCAACAGTTGGCCGCAGGTTGGACCCGGAGAAAGCAGGTTACTCAACACATTACCCAGGATGCATTGCATTGGCGCCATTCCAAGTCTGTGTTGTCACTAGTGACAATTTTCTATATTTTTTTTGTTAGAGCTCCTCATCCTTTCACTGTTTTGGTGAATATACTCCAATTAGGAAAAGTTAGTAAACATCAATGTCTGGTTCACTGAAAGCTGCCATGGCCACACTGGATCATGTGCAGCCTGCTATACCGTGTTTCTCCGAAAATAAGACCGGGTCTTATATTAATTTTAGTCACAAAAAACACACTAGGGCTTATTTTCAGGGTAGGGCTTAGAGCCAGTCTGTCAGCTGGTGTCTGCGCTGTGTAACCCCCCCAGAGACCCTCACCTCCCCCTCCCTGTAATATTCTCCCCTCCCTCCCTCCCTGTAATACTCTCCCCCCTCCCTCCCTGTAATATTATCCCCCCATCCCTCCCTGTAATACTCTCCCCCCTCCCTCCCTGTAATACTCTCCCCCCTCCTTCCCTGTAATATTCTCCCTCCTGTATTGCTCTCCCTCCCTCCCTCTGTAACATTCTCCTCCCTCCCTCCTCCCCTGTAATACTCTCCCTCCCTCCCCTGTAATATTATCCCCCCATCCCTCCTGTAGCTATCTCCCCTCCCTCCCTCCCTGTAATACTCTCCCCCCTCCCTCCCTGTAATATTATCCCCCCATCCCTCCCTGTAATACTCTCCCCCCTCCCTCCCTGTAATACTCTCCCCCCTCCTTCCCTGTAATATTCTCCCTCCCCCCCCTCAAATCTTCTCCTCACCTGCTCTTCCCTGTAGCGTGGCCGAGCTCCTCTCCGGTCTGCAACCCGGCCGGACTGACAGGAAGTGCACACCCAGTGTGCACTTCCTGTCAGTCCGCCGGGTCGCAGACCAGAGAGGAGCTCGGCCACGCTACAGGGAAGGGGAGGTGAGTCAGTGCGGCAGCCGTCTGAGAGCTCTCTATAGAGCGCTCAGTCGGCTGTGGCATTTAAAGGGCCGGCGCCGCCGGCCCTGCCTAGGTCTTATTTTCGGGGTAGGGCTTATATTGCAGCCCACCCCGATAATCCAGCTAGGGCTTATTTTCGGGGTAGGGTGTATTTTCGGGAAAACAGGGTAGATAATATGTATAACTGCAATTCTAAGACGCTGCCACTAGGGGGGTGTATTGGTTTACACCTGCTCAGTGTGTAAGGAACCCCAGTGGAACCTTGATACTGGCACTATCTACACAGAAAAGGAAGGACAGATGTGAGTTAATTCGGAATATTCCTAATGTGCTTTTGAATTGAGGGAATCCACAGGAGTGTCCCAAAATAAGAATATCTTACTGTGGTCACTGATGGTAATTCAGAGACAAATTCAAAAGTGAACCTCAAATATATATATATATATATTTTAAACTTGTTCTTTATTATTTTCAAATATTATGGGGTACAGAAGGCAAAAAGGGGTGGGGGACAATAAGGAGTTGTTCAACAACCTCAAATATAGTTTGACCTCTGGTAAAAGAACAACAGCCTAACATTGTTTTGAATTCTAACTACCTAGGTAGAAGTTACTTTTAGCTTCTTTTTATACTCACTTTTCTTTTATTTTTTTCGTTCTCGTTTTTTTTTTTTCTAGAACTATATAATAAAGTTTATTTGATTTATTTTTCTTTAGTTCATTTGAATTGGTGACTTTTCTTATTTCCTACTGTGCCATTTTTTGGGGGCAGAATACATTTAATTACTTAGTGTGTGCAACACAAAATGGCCTCTAAATTAATATGGATGCTGAATCACCATTAGGTGAGGGTCTTATAAATTTAAATAACATCTGGAAAGTTTTGTGAGTGCTGCCTGGCATTGTTTGGATTATTCAGTAAAGTCTGAATTCAAAGCTTAAAATGTAGGCTGAAATAGTTTAAATAAAAACCAAATTATTTAGAGGGGGAAAAAAAATAATCATGTGCTCCCAATGTGTAATCAGCCAACTAATCATAGGCAGGATCTCATAGAAAATGGCATGATATCACATTGGGGGCATATGGATTCTATATACAAAAATATTTCTCTTGTATATAATTACCAAAGTATGAATGTGGGGTGGGGTGCGGGCTGGTGAGGGAGTATCATTAAAGCGACCCTATAGTGCCAGGAAAACAAAGCCTACAGTGTTAAAACCCCTTCAGTCACTTACCTGAATCCAGCACTGACTTCCCTCGGCGCTTATTCAATGCTTTCCTGTGGGGAAAAATCCTCATTGCATAGCGTGAGGACGTCCAGCGTCAGATAACGGACCAAAGGTCAGTTTCAATTCCGGAAGACCCTCTAGTGGATGTCTGGTAGACAGACACTAGAGGAGGAGTTAACCTCATTGACAGCCGCTAGAGGCGCTTGCATGATTCTCACTGTGAAAATCACAGTGAAAACACGCAAGCATCCATAGGAAAGCATTGTAAATGCTTTCCTATGAGACCGGCTGAATGCGCACGCAGCTCTTGCTGCGCGTGTGCATTCAGCCGAAAGGGAGGAGAGGAGGATCGGAGGCGGAGAGCTCCCCACCCGACGCTGGAAAAAGGTAAGTTTTACCCATTTCCTCTCCCCAGAGCCCGGCAGGAGGGGGACCCTGGGGGTGGGGGCTCCCTCAGGGCACTATAGTGCCAGGAAAACGAGTATGTTTTCCTGGCACTATAGTGGTCCTTTAAGCTGGGTGGCAACAGATTATTACCAATGAATTTTTGTCCCCCTTGACAGCTTCAAAGTAGGTTTAGTGGTTGGTTGTGACCTGGAAGACATCTCTGAGTCAGTCGACACCTCAGCATGTGAAGCCTTGTAGCAGGGAATGATATGCAGGAAGGTGTTTCTGTCCCAGCTCACACAGATGGAAAGTTCCAAATATTTCAGTATGTGACGGGTTCTGTGCAACCTTGAGTCCATTTGGCCCAAACTAAGTATACAAACTTGCCATTAAATGATTAGGTGAAGTTGTCTAAGGGTCTTGGTGAGGGTCTTTCCCAATCTGGCAAAGCATTGTTTAGAAATGTTGTTGCGTCTTCCACAGATGTGGTGGGAGAGAGCTCGGTTTGAGATTTTCAAGCGTAATGTAGCAGGGTAAAGGAGGGCAGGACATGCCCTTTTTGTGTAGTGCTGAACAAATTTGAGTAAACTCTACAATGTCCACGAGTAACCTGTGCCAAATAATCTTTTAAATTTTTTTAATTTTGTTATCTTGGTAAATTACCGTTGATGCGCTGTCTGTTTTTGCCACAGAAGGTCCTAGTTTAGTGGTTTTATCTGATCTTTCCGGGCGGGAAGCGGGTGGTGTAGTTGCTATTTGGAGCATATCCAGCAACCAGAATTGAAGAGTAGAAATGATGTCGCTTGTCTTTAAAGATTCTATAAAGCCCACAAATCGTAAATTGTTTTTTTTTCTTCTGCTACTGCCGGTTTCAAGACCATCCACTTTGTTTTGTAATGATGTTAAGGTATTTTGTTGCTGCCTTATTGTGGATTGAAGTAGGTGTTTCCATTAAAGTGATTTGGGAGAAGTGAGTTTCAAATAAATTAACTGCACTATCAATAGAGACTTTAATATCCTTGAATTGGGATTTGAAGAATTGTTTAAAAACGCTGACTGTTTCTGAGGCTTGTTGTGAGATGAATGTGGGAGTTGAAAGGGATTGGGAAGAGTGTTCCTCAGCATCTGAGTACCATGGAGAGAGGCAAGGAGTAAAGGGCGATGTTGCTTCTTTAAAATGCTGTTTCTTGTCTGGTCTTTGCGGCTTTATTTGAGGTATTTTGGAGGGCGTCTTGTCTATGAATTTATACATGGTGGTTGTACGGAAGTAATGTGAAAAGGGGAATAAGACAAAGAATATCAGAGACAGGCAGAATTAAATGTAAGTGTGCCATCAAGCAATATGGGATGGTGTGAGGGTGTTGATGATTATTTTTGGTATTTATATAGCGCCAACTAGTTCCGCAGCGTTTTACAATATTATGATAGGGGAGGGGGTAATTTACAATAAATGGGACAATTACATGGTGACACAGGAACCATAGGTAGATGAGGGCCCTGCTCAAACAAACTTTGATGGATATATGTAGTAGGTGTTAGTCTGTAGGATTAGGCGTGCTAGTTGGTTGAGAGATTTCCATTGAGTCTGCTGTGTTATAAAATAATTTAGTCCAGCCAAAGAGTGTGTATCTTTTTTGAGTGTCACTGGCCTAGTGTAGTAAATGGGAAGTAGTGGGATCTGTGTGTAGGGGGAGTTTAAACCATCAGAGAAACTACTATGTTTACATATGGGTTAATCCAGCCTCTAGTGGCTGTCTCACTGACAGCCGCCAGAGGCGCTTCCACGCTTCTCACTGTGAAAATCACAGTGAGAAGACGCTTGACGTCCATAGGAAAGCATTAAAAAATGCTTTCCTATGGACTGACTGAAGACGCGCGCGGTCCTTTAACCCTAATGTCCCGTGTGCCTAAGCTTAGTGAATGCACTAACTATAATGAAAGTGTAAAACTAGCTTTACTTACCTTCCAGGACCTTGCTGTGGAGGAGTAGCAGGAGTGCTAGCACGCATATGCAGAACAGGATCCAGCTGATTTCCCTCACCGGAAGTGACGAGGGTAGGGGATTTTTACGCGGTAGGGGAATTTGATAGAACAGTGGCTTTGATTATGATACAGAGTGTAACTACTTGGTTGGGTCTGTAAATTGTTTTTCAAAATTTTCTGCCTTTTTAGGCCACAATAATTAACTATGGCCTCAATGTAATATTGTTGGATAAGCTTTCCAAATGATTTAATATTTTTAGATAAACTTTTAAAATTTCAGCATATTAAAGTATAAAAAGATTACATATTTTTAAGACTAGCTGTAATTCAGACATAAATCATAATTACCCAGTAAGTGCCGCTTTTTCGAGAGACAATTTAAAAAATAACTTTACTTGTGACATTATTAAAGAAAAAAATCATTTATTTATATTTTTGGGAAATTATTTTGCAACTTCTTTGGATATTGCTTCAAGATCCCTCTTTGGACGAGCCACCAGATGTAAAACTGCAGGTTTCTTTGTCACCACTGATGCATACTTGATTGGAGACCCGATAATTCTCAGTCCCCCCAGCTGCTTTTCCTTGAGCTCGTACAGATGTGCTCTAGCTAGAAGTAGATCATCCTCCCTCTGCTTGGTCTTCTCAGTAGAATTGACATACTTCAGTCTGTTTGGTTGAAACTGCAGCCTTAGATGTCCCACTTCTTTCTTCACTTGAGAGGTTCTCTCCATTAACTGTCTCCGCTGCTTCTCAACCAACTCCTTTTGCTCCCTTCTCACTCTCTCAAATTCTGCATTGTCCATTTTTGGCTCCGCTACCAGAACATTAATTTCCTTTGTGGAGTTTTGTTGCCCTTTCATGGTAGAATCCTTCTCACCTCTTGAAGCCTGTACTGCCAACTTGTGCTCCTCATGTCCCTTATCAGTTCCGACCCTTGAAGCGGACAGGATGCTCTTGAAGTCACTGGCTAAAGTTAATATGGATTTTTCAGATGGATCATTAGGAGGAACTATAGGTTTGGGACCCAGGTCACTTCTGACAGTTTGAATGGAGTCAGATTTGTGACTCAGTGATGGTAAGGCTACAACATTATCTTTTCTACCGCTTTGTCTCAGCTCACTGACGCAGTGAGTTTTTAGCTTTATGCCATTAATCGCAAAACGCTTATCTACCTGTGAGTTGAGAGATCTACTGCCATTGTTTGGGGCTTTGGTCCTATAGGAGCCAATGAAACCATAATTAATCCTCTCTGCCATGTCGGCATCCAACCCAGGACTGACTATGAATGAATGAGCTGTCTCAGTGTCTACTGTTATGATGACTACTGCTTCGAGTGACATCACAATATTAGCATACTGTTTACTGATAGTGACATGTATGTAGAGGTGTTTTTTTATATATATATATATATATATATATATATATATATATATATATATATATATATCTCTGTTCCAAAACAATCCTACTCAGCCTAACAGATATTTTATAATATAGCTTAAATGTATGAAATTATGAAATTAATATTCCCTAATATTTCAGTATAATAAATAACCTTAAATATAGATTATAAAATCAGACTTTACACTCCTTGCTTTCTACAATCAAAATAATTTATTTAGAAAAAAATGAAGAAAATCTGGGTGCTAAACAAGTATTAGGTGTAAACAATTGCTTCACACTCTGGTGTAATCCCCAAATCCACCAATAGGGAATAGAGTATAGTAATGAGTGGAGCAAAGTGAAACACCACTTAGAGACAGTGGAGAAAATGATGTACAAACTCCTTAAATGTTAGATGGTTCTTCCAATCAATGATGATGATATGTAAAAAAAGAGAATAAAAAATGCAATGATAGTGCAGATGGTTAACAATGATTAATCAACTCACATCTGCTTAATAATGCTCTTATCTCATAATATATGAAAATGAAATGTCATCATTACAGTAATTAGCTTGAAGAGCCAAAATATAAGAAAAAAATGACATAAATTTATTGTCTGCTACATGCAGAGTTAAAATCATTACATAAGATGGGGGCTGCATAGCGCGAACGCTCCCGCCGACGGGCATATTCAAACAGCCACAAATCCAGCCGCACTCGGTGCACGGACCCCCAGAGACGCAGTCCACATCCCGGAATACCCACAGCCACCAGCGGACATGGGGGGGGGGGCGGAAAAAGAACGAGCAGCCGCCATCCGTGGCCCCTCTGTTCTGGCAACCACGAGGCCAGACGCCATCTTCCCCACAACGGCGGGAAGACTCTGCATCCGACTCAGACCGAAATAAAAACAGGTGAGTAAGCGCTAAATAACACAAATGAGCAGCAACCCTAAGAAGGGAATCCCTCAAGAACCCTTAAGGATAAGACACAAAAAATATAGAGGAAGGGCTGCGCTTAAAAAATAAATAAATATATATATAAAAGTCCAGATGAAATAAATAAATAGATAAATAAATGAAGAGGTCTTATCTTGCAGTGTCCATAGTGCTTAGTCAGAGGTAATAATCTTGTTTTCTGTCTTGCTTTCTGTCTTTCTTGTGGATCGTCTCTTATGTAAGATATAAAAACAAATACAAAACCACAATGGTGCAGTATATCTATATGGGTGAGGAGTAAAATATAAAAGGCTTGATTGCAAACTCACATATCCAAGAGCTAGAACCTGCTCTGGTATAGAAGGCGTACAGCGGTTTAGATCCCCGCTTATGGGATATAGGATTGTTGTCCTCCACGTGTTTCCTCCTTCCGTGATTTAAAAGATGCTCAAAATAAAAAGAGACAGCCAATAGTGTTCTCTGCGTAAAATTAAACTCCAATATAAAATAAAATAAAAAATGGATACTCACAAGACAGGAGCAGGTCAACTGCTCCTGATATTTCGCACTGGTGGAATAATCCCCACCTAGGATTGCTTGGAGTCCAACGAATGATGCCAGGTAGTAATAATAATTATATGTGTATTAAAAGATAAGTAGTACAATAAAAGATTATAAAATATACTTTAATTGTAACATTACACAATATAAAAAAACCATAAACGCGTTTCGCCAATCGGCGTTATCAATATGGGTAAAGGACCTGATACCTGGCAGAAGAACATTTAAATAGCATACTCAATTGACTCAAAAATTGGCGCCAAAATTTGGACAGCCAATCAGATTGCAGTAGCAAATTACATACAGTATAACACTAGTAAAACATAAACAATAGTATGTATTAAAGTAAAGCTAAAATAGACATTATAAGTTATGTGATTAGACTTTAAAAACGATCAGTGGTTATTTAAAAAAAGAGAAAAGATTCTAAAGTGCACGGTCACATGACCGGCATCACAGCCGCAAGGGGTTATGGGGTATGTAGTTTGACGCCGGCCGGCACTGCGCAGCCGCCGGCGTCACGAGAGAGAACTGGTGGCTGGCGTCTGTTCGCATAACAGATGCGTCCAGACGCCAGTAGGAGGAGCGAGGGGCGGGTGTGCTGGTGACGGCGGCACGTACAAGACAGTGGCCGCCGTCATCAGAAAGAAAATAGACGACGGCTCACACAACGCTGTGGCCGTCGTCATGGAGATGCTGCAAGCTATATAAGGCTGGAGAAGAAAAGAAACAAATAATATTAAGGCCATATATAAGTGGAATAAAATAAAATAAAACAAATAGAGCTAACAGATATAAGGAAAAATAGAATAAAAATAAATATAAATAAAAAAAATATATATAAATAAAAATATAAAGTAAAAACATAATGGGAAGAGAAGCAGGCAGGTAAAGGGCAGCATAATATCTGCTCTACTGGATAATAAGGGTGGGCATTGTGAAATAATATAAAAACATATGGTTAAAAAAAAAATGGATTATAAAAAATTAAATAAATCAAAATCAGCATTCAGACCATAAGGTGCAAGGGTTTGGAGTGTATAAACCCACTCCATCTCTTTTTTGCCTAGGATATTTTTAATATTTCCACCCCTCCATGGGACCATACATTTACCTATAGCAATGCATTTAAGCATTTTAGGATCTTTATTATGTATAATAAAATGTTTGGATACTGAGTGATTTAGGTATCCATTCTTAATATTTCTGCAGTGTTCGCTCAGACGTATTTTTAGACACCTTGTGGTCATTCCAACATATTGGAGGCCGCAAGGGCATTCAAGCAGATATATTACATTTTTCGTGGAGCAGTTAATAAAATCATTTATTTTGTAAACCTTGTTTGTCCTTTTCGATGTAAATTCCGTTACTTTGGATGGAACATCAGGATTGGTGGATTTACACACAATGCACATTTTACACTTACAAAAACCTTTTATTTGTGGAAAAAAGGATATAGGGGGATTTTTTTTAGGATTTTTTCCTCTTGTAAAATTGTTGGTCAGAATAGATTTAAAATTTTGGGCACCCCTAAATATAATATTGGGGCGTTCAGGTATAATTTTGTTTAGTATTTCGTCTTGTTTGAGAAGGTGCCAATGTTTTTTAACGATTTTTTTGACATAATTACTTTTATTATTAAAATTAAAAATAATTGGTAAGGGCATTTCTGTGTCAGTAGTTTTGGGTTTGTATTTTAGGAGTTCATTCCTATCTTTCCCTTGGATCTCCTTAATTGTAGTTTCTAATTCTGATTTTGGATAGTTTTTTTCAACAAATTTATCTTTTAAAAGATTCGCTTGTATCTCAAAGTCTTTAAGTTCTGAACAATTTCTTCTCAGTCTAAGAATTTGGCTTTTAGGGGCGCTGTCTAACCATGGTTGGTAATGACAGCTATTTTTGTCAATAGCAGTATTAACACAAACCTTTTTAAAGAAAGTTTTTGTATGTACCATACCATTTTTTATAAAAATATCGAGGTCTAAAAAATTGATTTGTTCTCTACTGTATTCGCAGGTGAGTATTATACCTCTATTATTCAAGTTGAGGTTAGTGATAAAAGAATTTAGAGCTTCTTCGGTACCATTCCAAATAAAAAACAGATCGTCAATATATCTGAAGAAGGAAACCAGGTTTGCTCTCCACGCATGGTTACCAAAAATGGCTTGTGACTCCCAGTCGGCCATAAACAAGTTTGCATAGCTGGGAGCAAACCTGGTCCCCATGGCAGTACCTCTTTTTTGCAGATAAAAGGAGTCTAAAAACCAAAAATAGTTATTGTTTAAAATAATATTAATACCTTCTAAAATGAACTCTATTTGTTGGTTGGCAATTCTTCCTTCTTTGGTTAAAATATCTTTTACAGCTTGACAGCCTATATCATGAGGTATGATCGTATATAGTGACTGAACATCGCATGTCACCAATATAAAACTAGATTTCCATGTAAAATTATTTAAAAAATTTAAAAGAACCATGGAATCTTGAAGGTATGATCTCATGAGTTTGACTGAGGGTTGTAAAAGGATATCTATATATTGTGACAGATTGCATAAAAGGGAACCTATGCCTGATACAATAGGTCTTCCAGGAGGGAGGGTTTCACTTTTGTGGATTTTCGGGAGGAAATAAATTACAGGTGTTATGGGGTGTTGGTTATTTAAAAAGTTAAATTCATGTTTGTTTAAAATACCTTGCTCTACACCTTTATTTAAAAATTCGATAAAAACATTTTGGATTTGTTTTATGGGGTCTGCTGTGAGTTTTTCGTATACATTAACGTCATTTAATTGTCTGAGGGCCTCATTTATGTACATATGAGAAGATTGGATAACTATTCCTCCACCTTTATCTGCTGGTTTGATGACAATGTTTTCATCATTTTGGAGTTCTTTCAAAGCTATCTTTTCTAAATGCGTTAAATTGTGGGGGTCATATTTGTTGTTTTTGATTTTTTCTAAATCTTTTATGACAAGTTTTTCAAACATAGTAATAGGAGCAGACTTATAGTGGGCAGGATAGAAAGTAGATTTCTTTCTAAGGGAGGTATTAATAATATCATTATTACATGAAGATATAGAAGGAGTTAAAGTGACATTTGGTTCGGGTTTTTCCATGAAAAATCTTTTTAAAGTTGCTTTCCGAACAAATTTATTCACATCAATAAAAGCTTCAAAAGGTTTAAAAGTATTAGTAGGGGCAAACTTAAGACCTTTAGTTAAAACCGCTAGGTGTGTACTGTTTAAAATCTTTTGTGACAGATTAAAAATGCCTCCGTTAGTTACGTTAAGAGAAGGTGCTATCTTTCTAGTCTTTCTCTTTTGTTCGCGTCTACCACTTCTTCTTCCTCTGAATTTAAAATCCTTTTTTTGG